CCCCAAAACCCCAAAACCCCAAAACCCCAAAACCCCGTGAGTATAAATAGGTGAGATGCGTATAATTTTGTTTTTGAAAATTAAAGTCTCTCAAAGGATGAATGACGATAAAATATAATCGATGGACGCTCTCAGTCTGTCACCCTTCAGCTCCTTTTCCTTGTTCTCTTCCCTCTCTAATAATATTTAAACCTCTAACCTCATTATTAAATCCACATCAACTATAAATACAAATCTCTCAGATGACAACAGTTAGCACTCAACAGACGAGTCAATAGAAGAGATCACTGATGCTGAAATAAATGAGTTGATGATAATGGACATGGTCAGGCATGGTTTTAAGAGTGAAGTGCCTAAGAGTCCTGTAGCTAAGTCACACAATAAAAAGTCATAAGAAAATACAAAGATGAAATCTGAAGTCAAGAAACCAGTTCAGTTAAGTCTGAATAGTTTCTTTAAGCCAAAGGCAACACCCTCAACTAAACTCACTCTCCCTTAATAATAATAAACGAGCACAAGACCATTTCAATAGAATAATGCAAAGAATTCCAGTGAAGAGTAAATGCAATTAAATATACCTTAGTAAGAAGAAAATCAACAGAAAGTTAAAATAGTTATCAGTTAGGAGATTTAGGATCAAGAAAAATCTATCCTCAAGAATATGATTAGGTTGGGATCATAGGTGAAGGATACCTCACTAGAATCTCATTTTCTTATAAATGAGACCGAACTGGATCCAATTTTATCTTTAATAGATTTCGATTAAACGTAAATAAACGATGATAACATAAATATTAGAAAGTAATAAATCAAATAGTTATTAACAGATATTAAATTGTGAAGCGTTAATTTTAACTTGTATCAAAATAACATTTAATTTTAAGCACTCTTTTAATTTATGCTTATATTACTATTAGTTGATGTCTGATTAGTCTTTGAGGATGTAATCTCCCCTTTATGTTCAGTTTTACTTATCATCATAATACACACTGTCTTCCTACTTTTCCTCCTCCATTATGGTATTCTGTTGTTGTGTCATTCTCGATGGTAGATATTGCCTTAAAACTGAGATGCTGTTATTTCCTTAACTGTTTTCATTAAGCTGGCTGTATGTATTTCTCAAAGTCATATCTCCAATGGCTCCGAACGTGCTTCTATAGTCATTTTGCAGAGTTGACTAAAGAGCTGAACTGCTGCCTTGATTCTTCAGTGACTTTTACACTCTGAAGATTCTCTTGACCTTTCTCAAGAATCTTCTTGCGAATTCATGTGGAGGCTTGACTGAGAAGTCTGTGTTCTAACGGATGAAATGTGCAAGAATACTCTTGCCATACATCTCGAGACGCTTGTTCATGTTCCACTTGCCCAAGTAGTCAATCAGTCCCATCAGGTAAACAAAACGCTTGCTTGGCGAGAACATCACAAATCTGCCAAACTTAATAAGCTCATCGAGTCTTCCATAAAGCTCTTCTTCTTTCTTCTTCTACTCTGGATCTACGAATTGGATAATAGAGTAATCATCCGCATTGGGGTCATCAGAATTCTTCTACTCTTCATTCTTAGGCACTTCAAGCACAATGAGGAATAAGGAGTAGTCCATAATTCTAAGACCCTCTAAGAATCTAACATCTGACTCAATGATTCTAATGAACTCTTCAACTGTCTCTAAGTCATCAAAGGTGACTGGAAGTTTTCTATCATGCATACATTTGAAATCAGAATCCTTTAGTAGCCCTAGTTTACTCATAAGCTGCGCTTTCAGTGCTGGATTTTCCTTTAGGTTGATCATTTGGTCTTAGTTCCACATTCTCTATTGCTTATACAGGTACTTCTGTTCTCTGTACACTAATTGTTCCTCATAATCAAGCTGCTTGAACTTCTCATCGTTTTCAATATCATCATCTATTTCCTCATCATCTGCCAATATTTGGTTATCCTCACTTTCATCATCATCTGTATCCTACTCATTCGAATTTGAGTTTGTATTGGTATTAGTTTTGCTCTTTGTATCCTTAGATCCATAAGGGTTACTGTTAACTTATTTCTCACCAGACTCTATTGATTTAGGCTTTTTAAGGCCACTTTTAGTAGTTGTCTTAGTTTTGGTATCTCTGGATCTATTATCTGAGCCATTTGAACTTGCCAACTTCTTCAGTCCTGGGTTTTACTTGTCGATCTCGTGTAAAGAAGTCAGATCCTTTTTCTTAGGGAATAGCTCCTCTAGATTCGGATTATTCTCTAGTAATTCCTCTCTTACAACTTTTACTTCTTATCTACTTTTATACTCTCTACGGTTTACTGTTGAGAATTTCAGATCGTATTTGAATCTAATAAAAGACTCATCGATTGGATCAAGAGACTCCATAAGTACGTGATATACTCTATCTTTATCTTAGATTCTTATGGCATATATTCCCACTATCTTAGCAAGTAGACTATTAGGATGTCTCTTTAGATGCAAGTGATACTTTGGCAAAATGCTCATTAAGAAATCCTTCTCTTCTTTCTTGACCTCTTTAATAAGGAATCTCTTATCATGAGTCTTGATCAATGGCTTTCCTCCCTTTGCACTAGTCTTCTCAAAACTTTTAGTCAGAGTTTTAGTGTTATTATATGGAAGAAGAGAATCTCTGAACATATCTTGACTCATTTTCTGCCTTAGTCTCAAGTTTTAAAAAATCAAAGTGGCATATTCTGTGATCTTAAAACTTAGACTCTTTTAGAAATTTTTTTCTAGCTCAGGTGGGAAGCTGTATTATTCATTGAAGTTATACTTTTATTGAATGTTTTCAAGTGAATAGACTCTCTTTACCTTCTTATTAAATACTTCTTCACTCAATAGCTCACTAAGATAATTGATTAGAATAAAAATTTACTTCTAAGCCAAAAGATCTACGATTTCAGTTGATAGCTAATTTTAGAAATATAAATCGAATACATCATCCATTAGCATACATATTCCACTAAATGTCGATAATAAGTTCTATAGCATTCGTTAATATGATAAGGCTGATTACGTTTAAAGTTTCAGTCTAGGTCAATTTATCATAAATCTATTAAGAATTTCTGTGATCTTTAAGTGCATCAGCATTTTTAATAACAGAGGCATCTTTCTCTGGCTTCTCAATATCAATTAATTACTCCATCAAATTTGAGAATTGCCTAGGTCTCTATAAATATATCATTTTTACAATAACTCTTACAATTGGCTATCTTCTACAAAGAAACTTTTGCTTCAAAGAAGGATCGCATAAGATTCTTGTAAGTGTGTTAAGCAATGGCGTCATAGCTAGCAGCGATAAAATCACAGTCTTGAGACTGGTGAAAGTTGATAAGTCAAGTTTCAAGGTAAAGTTCAAGAAGTGAATAAAGATATAAGGAATCCATGTGAAAGAGTAAATCAGTATGTTTGATATGTGACAGATGTACAATTATTTCTATAGATATATTATATGAAACTATTGTCTTACCTAATCCTATAAAATGCGCTGATTTTTTCTTATCTTCATATAACACTTTATACTTGACCATACACAAAATGGCCATACAAATATCAGTATATACACATACAAGAATTCTAGTAATGATCCTCTAGCTGTGCCACAACTTTCAAAACACTATAAACTCATTTAGCGTTGCATCAATGCTTACAGTGATGCCAATGTCCTCAATAATGATTGATATTAAAGATGACACCAGCCCAAATATGATTGCGTATATATGATACTTCAAATGACTTAAATCTTTTGGGTTAAACACCTTAGACAGTGAGTTTATGAGTTCACTTAAGTAGAAGTGATAAAAAGCACAAGAAAAAGTAGCAAAGACTCCAATTAATCCGACTAACTGACACCCTACTAGATTCCTCTTACTCATTTGCATTATAGAGAAAATCAAATGAATCACCATTATCTCGTCCACTATAATGATTCCCATCAGAAGTAAGTTGTCTATAAAAGTATGAGTATGATTCATGAAGTATAGATATACATGGATTCTTATGAAGTTTTCTATTGAACAAGTGAAACAGGAATATTGCTAAGCCTGCAAACAACGAAACTCCACTTATTGAGTATATGATAATGTTAGGATCCATTAAATTATAATTTTGTCTAATTTTTTATAATCATTCTTAATTGTCTCATGGGGTTTTGGGGTTTTGGGGTTTTGGGG